ATAACAACTACACCAAACACATCAACAAAAATCCTCCATTCTTCCCAGCTCAATTACCAGTTTAAAATGTCAATAGATCAACATCACGGGCTACTTAATTGAGCAAGTCTTTACTCAAGATTAGGAAATAGGTTAAAAGTTACTATTGCAGCAAGTCTTGTAATCAAAGATTTTGCCTCAAAAGGACACACAACAATGAACAATTTAATAAACTTTCCTGATGCATGAGAAATTAAAAGCAGAAGAAATTCCCTAATGTTGCAACAAGCACATGAGGAATTTGTTGGTCTTCCTCATAAAAAATATAATAAAAACTACTATGTAATAATGATAATAATAATGATACCAATAAAAACCATAATCATAAATTAAAAACACAAGAAATCCCAGGAAATATATATTCTGCCCCATATACTCTCTCAAACCACCTCATCCCAAAGCAATGTACATAGTTTACAAAAAAAACATCAATAGAGAAATAACAGGCCCAAGAAACACCCTATTATTCTTCTCACATCACACCTCTTCTATAAACATAAGGATATCAAGAATATGAAGCAGAAAACAGAAGCTTATATCAATCCTCTCCCAAGGCCAAATGCCCATGACAGCTCTCGACAACAATGATACTGATCTTCAGAAAATAATTTCTTGCATACTTTCCATGCAACCTTCTTAACTTATCTCTGTCAAAATATATATATAATATGTCAGTTACATTCACTTGTTCACATGTACACATGCATGCACACACACACATGTGTACACAACACACACACCCCACACACTCACCCACTCACCCACTTCTGTCACTCACCCATTCACCCACTTCTGTCACTCACCCATTCACCCACTTCTGTCACTCACCCACTCACCCACTTCTGTCACTCACCCACTCACCCACTTCTGTCACTCACCCACTCACCCACTTCTGTCACTCACCCACTCACCCACTTCTGTCACTCACCCACTCACCCACTTCTGTCACTCACCCACTCACCCACTTCTGTCACTCACCCACTCACCCACTTCTGTCACTCACCCACTCACCCACTTCTGTCACTCACCCACTCACCCACTTCTGTCACTCACCCACTCACCCACTTCTGTCACTCACCCACTCACCCACTTCTGTCACTCACCCACTCACCCACTTCTGTCACTCACCCACTCACCCACTTCTGTCACTCACCCACTCACCCACTTCTGTCACTCACCCACTCACCCACTTCTGTCACTCACCCACTCACCCACTTCTGTCACTCACCCACTCACCCACTTCTGTCACTCACCCACTTCTGTCACTCACCCACTCACCCACTTCTGTCACTCACCCACTCACCCACTTCTGTCACTCACCCATTCACCCACTCACCCACTTCTGTCACTCACCCATTCACCCACTCACCCACTTCTGTCACTCACCCATTCACCCACTTCTGTCACTCACCCATTCACCCACTCACCCACTTCTGTCACTCACCCATTCACCCACTCACCCACTTCTGTCACTCACCCATTCACCCACTTCTGTCACTCACCCATTCACCCACTTCTGTCACTCACCCATTCACCCACTCACCCACTTCTGTCACTCACCCATTCACCCACTCCTGTCACTCACCCATTCACCCACTCCTGTCACTCACCCATTCACCCACTTCTGTCACTCATCCATTCACCCACTTCTGTCACTCATCCATTCACCCACTTCTGTCACTCATCCATTCACCCACTTCTGTCACTCATCCATTCACCCACTTCTGTCACTCATCCATTCACCCACTTCTGTCACTCATCCATTCACCCACTTCTGTCACTCACCCATTCACCCACTTCTGTCACTCACCCATTCACCCACTTCTGTCACTCACCCATTCACCCACTTCTGTCACTCACCCATTCACCCACTTCTGTCACTCACCCATTCACCCACTTCTGTCACTCACCCATTCACCCACTTCTGTCACTCACCCATTCACCCACTTCTGTCACTCACCCATTCACCCACTTCTGTCACTCACCCATTCACCCACTTCTGTCACTCACCCATTCACCCACTTCTGTCACTCACCCATTCACCCACTTCTGTCACTCACCCATTCACCCACTTCTGTCACTCACCCATTCACCCACTTCTGTCACTCACCCATTCACCCACTTCTGTCACTCACCCACTCACCCACTTCTGTCACTCACCCACTCACCCACTTCTGTCACTCACCCACTCACCCACTTCTGTCACTCACCCTCTTCTGTCATTCATCCACTTCTGTCACTCACCCACTCACCCACTTCTGTCACTCACCCACTCACCCACTTCTGTCACTCACCCTCTTCTGTCATTCATCCACTTCTGTCACTCACCCACTTCTGTCACTCACCCTCTTCTGTCATTCATCCACTTCTGTCACTCACCCACTCACCCACTTCTGTCACTCAACTATTCACGCACTTTTGTCATTCAATCAAAGATTAATACATCAATATAGTCCTTTTAAATGTGCACAAAGAAAATAAACCTATATCTATATATCTTTATCTATCTACCTATCTATCTATCTATATTATATGTATATTACATATATATATATATATATATATATATATATATATATATATATATATATATATATATATATATATATATATATATATATACATACATATATATATTATATTCATTCATATATATATTATATATATGTACACAAGCACACACAAAAGAAAACAATACACACACACACAAGCACAAACCCAGTTCACTCTGGTTTCATACCCAGAGTGACCTGGGTTTGAGTCCTGTTCAACAAGGGGTTATTTACTTATTTATCTATCTGTCTGTCTGTCTATCTATCTATCTATCTATCAATTCAACATAAAATAACCCACTAAGATGGCGAGAATACAAGAAAATAAATAAATAAATAAATAGACAAAATTGGAGAAAAAAAGAAAAAAAGAAAGAGAAAAAAAAAGCCAAATAATTAATATTCTATGCGAGGCTCAGATTCAAATTGAATCAAAATTAACCTTCCAAGCCAAGCGACTAGCAACGGGCTGGCATCGCTATTTTAGTTTCTGCTTTTAATTTTTCATCACTTCAGGGATAACCAAAGCAATCTATGTATACACACTCACATACAGACATAAGAACATACATACACGCATAAATGCCTTTCCCACATACATGGACATTTACAAACAATGCAAACATTTATGCATAACAGTGCAGTCTCACATATATGTTGTTATAAATATACACACACATACAAAAATTCTCACATAAATAAACACATACAAACATCCTCATAAAAATAAACACACATACAAACATCCTCATATAAATAAACACACATAGAAACATCCTCATATAAGTATACACACATACAAACATTCTCATACATATATAAAGGCCCTATGTATGTATTCATCGTCCTGAACATCACATGATACGAAACTTAACAGACTTCTAACTTCCCGACCTGCGCTAAGAACAGGAATCCTCACCGAACTCCCATCCGTCAACCTTTCCCTCGAAAAGTAGAAAAAATCACACCCACCCGCCGCACATAACGTAGAAAAACACAAACAAACAATAAATAAACACATTCATAAACTCACACACACACATACATACATACACACACACACATACACACGCAGGGCATCCCAAAATGTGACCCAAACCCAAGAGCCGACAAAAGACACCCCATATTTTCGATACATATCATCAACTTATCTCCACAATCCAACTTATAAATCCTGCTAAATATCACTACAAACGGTGATAATAGGACGCAGAAAATATCCCCCTCAATGCCGTTCCTCCACACACACGATGCGACTAATTTAAACCTCTTCTTCAAGAATATATCTTCGAGGATGAACATAACGGTTCTTACATAATCAATAAATATCGTAGAACACCATAAACCTTATGGTATATGATAAACATTTCATCGGAGAATTACGCAGTGAAACAACCGTCAAAGGCTGTCAGATTAATTAACAATGAATAAAATTTGCATACAATATACTAAATAATAATGAATAAAATTTTTCATACAATATACTAAATAATTAAGTCCACATAGATACATATATGTGCAATTTCTATCAAACAAAAGAGGTTATGAAGAAATACCAAGATAACTTACATCACCCACATAGATCATTTAACTATTAAAGAAAAGTATAAAAAAAATCTTTAAAATTTAAATAAATTCTCTCATTACACCTGACAATCACATTCAAAAGACACATATCGCGCCTTTAAAAAAAAATTGTATATCATATAAATAAAATATACGTAATAAAAAATATACAAAATATTTTGAAATATCTAAAAATAAATAAATAAAAAATATATAAAATATATATATATACATAAAAACCTCGTACATAAAAAATCATAAATTAAACAAAGCTTCCCCCCAAAAAATATAATATGAGAAAGAGAGAAAGAAAACAAGAGATAATAAAGCTTTAGAAGAAGAAGAAAAGTAAATAAATATATAAAAATAAAAGATAATACGGTAAAAAAATAGGTAAAAAATAAACCCCTAGAACCTCACCATCAGTCCTTCCCTTCCCCCCCTCTCCTCTCGGCCCATTTAGAGACATTTCCTCCAAACAAATACCCTAAAACGAAGGAAAAACACCAAACCTCAAAACCTCCTCTTCCAAAACCGTCACAAATTAATTTTTAAAAAAGGAGAAAGAAAAAAAGAAAAGAGAAGAAAAAAGAAAACCCATTTAAAAAAATCCCTCCTTCGATTCCTCTTACTCCCTTCCTACCCCTATTTCTATCATTCCCCAACCCCCCTTTCTCTAATAACACAAACAACAAAAACAACCAAACTTAAAACTAAACGAAAATACACCTCACCTGTAAATAAAAGGACGAAAAGCCGGATAAAAAGGGATAAAAATCCTCTCCCTTCGGCCTCACACTCACGACTCTGCCATCTTGCGAGCACTACTGGGGAGGCGGGGGC